GTCCCTCTCGGGAGGGTAACAAGGGAGCCGTCTGAGCACTAGTGACTGGGTTTTACCCCTTTCTCCTGCTCTTCCAGCCTGCTACTCTGTGCTATGCCCGTGCTTACCTTGCTCCCGGAGACCCGGTCCCTCGGGATGGTAGCAAGGGAGCCGTCTGAGCACTAGTGACTATTGGCAGATGAATCTGACTTCAATTTCTGGAAGTTCCTTTTTGATATACTGCTAGTATATCAAAAAGGAACTTCCAGAAATTGAAGTCAGATTCATCTGCCAAAAGGGATAGTTTTACTTCTTCCTTACCAATTGGGATGCCTTTGATTTTCCTTTCTTGCCTTATTGCCCTAGCTAGGACTTCCAATACAAAGTTGAATAGAAGTGGAGCTAGAGAGCATCCTTGTCTGCTTCCTGCTCACAAGGGAACTGGTTTCAGTCTCTCTTCATTGAGAATAATGTTGGCTGTTGGTTTTGCATAAATATCCTTTATTATGTTGGGGAATGTTCCTTCTATTCCTATACAATTGCAGCAGTATATCAAAAAGGAACTTCCAGAAATTGAAGTCAGATTCAAAAGAGGATGTGAAATGAGGGATATCATTGCTGATGTCAGATGGATCTTGGCTGAAAGCTGGGAATACCAGAAAGATGTTTACCTGTGTTTTATTGACTACACAAGACACTCAACTGTGTGGATCATAATAAATTTTGGATAACACTGTGAAGAATGAGAATTCCAGAACATTCAATTGTGCTCATGAGGAACCTGTACATAGACTAAAAGGCAGTCTTTCAAACAGAACAAGGGCATACTACATACTTTAAAATCAGGAAATGATATGTCAGGGTTGGATCCTTCATATTTATTCAATATGTATGCTGAGCAAATAATATGAGAAGGTGGACTATATCAAGAAGAAGATGGCATGAGGATTGGAGGAAAACTGATTAGCAATCTGTAATATGCAGATGACACAACTTTGCTTGCTGAAAGTGAAGACTTGAAGCACTTACTGATGAAGATCAAAAACTGCAGCTTTCAGTATGGATTACACTTCAACATAAAGAAAACAAAAGTGTTCACAACTGAACCAATAAGTGGAGAAAAGATTGAAGTTGTCAAGGATTTCATTTTACTTAGATCTACAATGTCCATGGGAGCACCAGTCAAGAAATCAAACACCATATTACACTGAGCAAATGTGCTGCAAAAGACCTCTTTAAAGTGTTAAAGAGCAAAGATGTCACTTTGAAGACTAAAGAGTGCCTGACCCAAGCCATGGTATTTTAAACAATATACGCATATGAAAGTTGGACTATGAATAAGGAAGACTGAAGAAAAATTTATGCCTTTAAATTGTGGAGTTGATGAAGAATACTGAAAATACCATGGACTGTCAGAAGAACAAACAAATCTGTCTTGGAAGTACAACCAGAATGCTTCTTAGCAGTGAGAATGACGAGACTTCATCTCTTGTACTTTGGTCGTACTATCAGGAGAGACCATTCCCTGGAGAAGGATATCATGCCTTGTACAGGAAAGGGTCAGTGAAAAAGAGGAAGACCCTCAAATAGATCAACAGAGACAGTGGCTGCAACAACGGGCTCAAGCATAGCAAAAATTGTGAGGATGGCACAGGACTAGGTAGTGCTTCATTCTATCGTATGTAATCACTATGACTTGGAACCAACTTACTAGCACCTAACAACAATATGTGAAAAGATTAAAGATGTAAACGAGAACAAAAGCATCTTACCTCCTGCAATGACAAAATGGCTTAGGGCATTTTTATTTCGGTATACATTCAGACCAGTGTTCACTGTACTAGGAAGAAGAGAGAAGGAAGAAAACATAAGATTTAAAACATATCTTATTTACCTTCTTAACTGTTGTTTTCATTAAAGTGACAGGTAATAATTTAGAAGAGTCTTCTAGGTCAATCTCTGGTCTTAGTCTAAACCCTTCATTGTACTCCAGTTTGCTAATATGGCTATGGGTTTTTTGGTGATCCTTTTCCTAGAAGACTAAATCATCAAATTTCTGAAGTAAATAAATATTCACTTAGAAACGCAAAGAAGAGTTTTTCAAAATTTTTTCTTAGAAGTCTTGAATCAAAATAATGACTAATTGGTAGATCTTCATCATGGATACCAAACTACAACTGACCAGTCCTTTACATAAAGAGATAAAAGTTCTTGAGAAAAAGTTATTATGAATCATATTAATGTAGGTGTTCATTTTTTATAATCCTGCTTGCTCAAAAGATGTGCTCCTAAAAGAATACTAGGACCCTCTCTCGGGATCCAAAGATAACTTACTTGAATACAGTCACAAACATTGCAGTTCTCCAACTCCAGCGCCAGCCATACCGAATGAGGCCTCGTGTGGCAGCACGATGGGCAGATTGCTAAAGGAGAAGAAAACTGTGAGATTCCAACACACCATGACACTTTTTCTTAAACTGTGGTGCAAAAATGTCAGCTATGGATTAGGCAGAATGCTAGTATGGATTAGGTGTGTGTGCCCAAACAGACAGACATAAGTGTACTAAATAAAATCATTCTTTAAGTACTGAGGCTTAGCCAACAGTATCAGGTGCATCCAGATCTACCAGGAGACAGAAAAGAAACTAAGAATTGCCAGTCAATCAAGTAATATATAAATTAAGTTTTTACTGAGAATCTATGTACCAACTACCATGTTGTTGTGCCACTGAGTTGATTCTCACTTATATCAACCCTGTATGACAAAGTTGAACTGCCCATAGGGTTTCCTAGGCTGTGAATCTTTACAGGAGCAGATCACCATGTCTTTTCTTCTGCAGAGTGGCTCACGGGTTTGAACCACTAACATTTTGGTTAGCAGTCAAGCACTTCATTTTTGTGCTACCAGGGCTCCTTATATTATACTATACCACCATGATAGATATAAAACCGTTATTGGACATGCTTTCTATATTAAAGAAATCTTGGGAAGAGAGACCAAAATAAAGTACTACTAATTAAGTGCTAAATAAAAAGGTGAGCATTAAAGTAATATAGATGTGAAGGAAAGGAACCAAGAAAAAGGAACTAAAGGAGCCCTGGTGGTGCAATGGTTAAGCATGCAACTGCTGACCAAAAGGGCAGTGGTTCAAACCTCTCAGCTGTTCTACAGGAGAAAGATGAGGAGACTGCTTCAATAAAGGTTATAGCCTTGGAAATCCTAAGGGGCAGTTCTACTCTGTTCTACAGGGTCACTACGAGTTGGCATCAACTCAACAGCAGTGGGTTTGGTGGTTTTTTTGGTACCCTCTATTTTAAAAGGAGGAGCTCTGATGGCATAGTGCCTAAGGCACATGACTGCTAACCAGAAGGCTGGCAGTTCAAACCCACCAGCCACTCCTGGGAAGGAAGATTGGGTAATCTACTTCCGTAGTGATACTGCCTCGGAAACCCAAGGAGGGGTTGCTATGACTTGGATCCAACTCCAGAGCAGTGAGTTTGGTTTTTTGGATTATTTTAAAGGTGTTTTAATATATTAGGTCATCTAATCTTTAAAACATTATCTTGAGGCAGGTTTTAATCAAAATTTAGATGGGAAGTTTCTAACTGACATCACCGAAGCTAGAAAGAAAGAAAGTCATAGTTGAAAGGTAGGTCTCTTGGTCCCCACAGCCCACTTTCATTAGACCATCATGAGGCAAGTTGGTATGATATTACAGGGAAAATTCTGCATCTTTAAAGATTTTTAAGAGAATCCCTAGACATGTATGATGCTGGACAAGTTAAAACCTCTCTTACAGGTATCAGTATGCACTAATGATTTTTAATAAAGAGATACAGAAATAGACATGTGTAACAATTAATCCATGATATACATACACATACACACAAATGCACACATTCTGACTCTGTCTGCTTAGGGCCTAGAAGCAGGGACACCCCAGTAGCAACAAGCATGCATATCCAGCAGCACCCAGATCTTAGTTTCTAAATATCATTCTCCATTAAAAGAAACTAGAGCTCCTTGGAGAAATGGCTAATTTCAGGACTGAGGCTGGAAAAGTAAAAGATTAGCCAGGATTATCTTGCTGTGCCAGAAAGTAAAGGTACACTCAAAGAATGATGGGGACGTATCAAAAGGGCATGGGAGCTAGCCTGAAGGGTTTTCAACTGTCCAAATCCAGGCCAATTTGAGTATCAAAATAAAAAGTGATAGTAACAGATTACAACTCTCAGAATAGAATAAGAATCCATGAGTCTATACTGATATTAAGCAAATGAATAGATAAACCAATGGAGAACATAAAACCCTTATGGCAGAATAACAAATAAATGTAAAAAGAATCAATGAATTAGAAAATGACCATTTGGCAACACCACAGTAATAACTGTTTTGAGCAAGAATCATCATTGAACACTAAAACTAGATGCTAGAAATCTGGTGAAAACCAGGACATTTACATAGTTTCAAAGCATCTCCCCATAAAATTAATTACAATGGGAAAAATTAGTGACTTTACAGTGGATAAATCTGGCAGAGACCATCTTAACCAGGTGATTAAACATCACCAGCAAAAGGGCAAATAGATACCATGTGCTTCCTGATACAACGTAGTAAAAAGGACCCAACATCAATTCTATTGCACTCCTTCCAAAATACATAACCTGAAACTAATTATGAAGAAACATGAGACAAATCCAAATTAAAGAAGAAGCTACAAAACAAATGACCCATATTCTTCGTCAAGATCATGACGTCAAGGTCATGAAAGACAAAAAAGAGACTGGAACTATCCCAGATGAAGGGTCTAAGGTGTCATGATTGCCAAATGCAATGTGTAGCTGAGTATTAGATCCTAGACCAAAAAAAAAGTATGTCTCTTTTATAAACGGTGTTAGTGGGACTGACTCTCTGGCACATAACAATAACACAACAACAATAATTAGTGAGACAACTAGCACAATTTATAAAAGGTCTATAAATAATAGTACTATATCAATGTTAATTTCCTGATTTTGACAATTATATTGTGCTTTTGTAAGACAATGTCCTTGTTTTAAGTAAAACCCACTAAAATATTTATCAGCTTCTTCTTGAGCAGTTCAGAAAAAAATAACAGGATGTATTATACAGAGAGGGAATTATAAAGCAGCTGTAGTAAAATGTTCTCAGTTAAATTCTCAAAAAGAAAATCTCACTGATGTCAAGTCGGATCTGACTCATAGAGACCCCTCCTTGGGTTTCCAAGGCAATATCACTACAGAAGTAGATTGCCCCACCTTCCTTCTAAGGAGTGGCTGGTGGGTTTGAAGTGCCAGCCTTCTGGTTAGCAGTCACATGCCTTAGGCACTATGCCACCAGAGCTCCCCTCTGACATCCTAGGCCCTCCCAACCCCATGACCTAACTGAATGATTAAAACCAAAACCAAACTCACTGCCATCAAGTTGTTTCTGATCCATAGCAACCCCTATCAAGTTTCCAAGGTTGTAAATCTGTATAGAAATAGATTGCTTGATCTTTCTTCCTCAGATCAGCTGGTAGGTTTGAACCACTGACATTCTGGTTGGCAGCCAAATGCTATAACCACTACACCACCAGAGCTCCTTAACTGATTAAGTGCTAACTAAATTATTAAATTGGTCTGCCCCAAAATCATATTGACTACCATTACATACCACGGCATCAAACCGGTTATGATAAATTTCTGCTTGGCTCTTCTCAATGTAGCGTTGTTTAGCATGAATAAAAGCTGGTACTCCCCCATATGCAAAGCCAATGATGCCTGCTGAAATTGCTGCCCTATAAATATTCTGAAGTTCTTCAGAGGTTCTCTGCTGTTCACTAAAACATCAAAAAGACAATGTTGTTTGGGATTAGTTTATGGATATTGCTTTCAAAAACACACCATGATCAGTACTACCTCAAATGGTACCTCCACCACAGACACCTTTTTCATTATGAGCAGAATTTATTACACCTTCTCAAGAACAGTGCAGTTATATTAAAAGTAGCTTAAATTTCAGACAAAACTAATAAACACTTTTAGAAATCTGGATAGTAGTTAGTCTTGGGTAGGTTGTGACTGGAAGGGAGCAGAGGGAGCTTCTGGTATGGTGTAGTAGTCTATTTCTTTCTAGGTGTTTGTTACACATGTACATTCAGTCTGTGAAAATTCACTGTATCATAATGTACATTTTCTAAGTGCATGCTGTATTTCAATAAAAAGTGCTTTTTCAAAGTTGCTTTTCTTTGATGACTATTATCACCACATTGTACCCCTAGAAACAGAAAGAATTTGTGAGTTGGATAGAGACACCAGTATTTTCCTTCTTAAATTTCAAACTTTTAGAAATTACACAAATTCATGAGATTTTAGGACAATGTATGCAAGAATAAAAACCTGGTATTTAAAAAAAAAAAGGCTTGCAGTAAAAAATAGATATAAGAATTCACACTATGTATGCACAGGGACATAGCTCAGGGGGCAGGAGGGCATGGAGGGAAGGACACAGGGAAGAGGTTAACTATCGGTAAGAAGTGGGAGGGGAGCTGTTGCATTGTGGTATATTGTAGTCAATGTTACGAGACAAAGTGTTTGTGAACTGCTTATGGAAAGTGAATTTGCTGTGTAAAATTTCCAAATCACAATTAAAAAAAAAAAAAGAACCACACAATCAATTGATGAAGATAAAGCACTTAACAAAATTCAACACTCTTTCATAATAAAGAGTCTGTTGTTGTTATGTGCCATCGAGTCAACCTGACTCATAGCAACCTCTTCTTTGAGGCAGTATCACTACGGAAGTAACAACCTTCCTTCCAAGGAGTGGCTGGTGGGTTAAAAGGGCCAGACTTCTGGTTAGCAGTCAAGAGCCTTAGGCACTACGCCATAAAATTTACATTAAAACTGATCAATGGTAGAACTCAGAAAAAAGAAAATGTAAAGAGTTTAAGATTTAACAAGCCAGATGTATATACTTTGCCTCTTTCACCCTCTGAACAATTATGTATCTTCATTTTATAGATAAAGAAATAGAAGCTCTAGGAACATATACGGCTGGTCCAAACAACTAATGAATGGTGGAGAAGGAAAAAAAAAAAAAAAAGGAAGAGCAGTATAGCAGTGGAAATTATCTATGACATGAGGTTGTAGTCCTGTTGGTCACTCACTGCTACATGACCTGCAGCCAGATCACATGGTTTCCTAATCCATGATGCAGATGGAAGAATGGAAGGTACACTAGATTATCTTTTGTTTCTTTCATTTCCAACATTCTGTGGTTTATACTGATGATCCAAATCATCTTTTTCTGTTATATATAAGATCTTTCACAAGCATCACAAATAAATATTGGAAAGATCACTGAGAAAGTTTGTTTCATTATGTTCAATATAAAGATGAAACTTACCAGCTCTCTTGCCCTTAACTATCTAGGCAACATGAGTAAAACTTCAATTTGAATCTAACCATTTAAGAACGTTGTGTAATATGGTAAAGTACTTCATGAAAGCTGGTCCAGAGTAAAGTTTTCACCAGTAAGTGATGAATGAATACATAAAGAAATGAACAAATGACTATTCTGAGTTTATTAGGTGAAATTAATTCAGTTTAATAGGCTATCCTTTATTCCGAAATATCCTTATTTTTGAATCTAGATTTTTTTATATATAAAATGATCAAACAAGAGTTGCTACTAGTCTTTATTTCCAAAATAAAAATTTGAAAATCCTTTCTGTTCCCTTCTCAACACTTTTTCTTTTTGGGAGGGGCGTAGAGGACTACAGGTCATGAAATATCAAAATATGAGATCAACTGAAACAGGAAAAATAATACTGGAAGGGGAGTCTGGATATGTGGGTTACAAGGCGAGCTCTACCAGTAACTAGCTGGGCAAACGTTTCTAGCCTGTAAAATGAGATGACATTAAAAATATCCCCAAGAGGACTTTTAATGTGTGAGCCCCGTGCCATCTGAAAATCGGTCTATCTATCAATTACCAAATGGCAATGTCAGAATATATGCTTAGCGTTCAAATGCTAGAACCCCAAATCCATGAAAAAAATAACCACCACCCAGGGGTCCTTCGCCCAGGACTATCTAGGCTGAAGGACACTTCCTTCGCGGCTCCTCCCCACAGACCCTAGGCATTTTTACTCTTTAACAAACAGCTCTCGGAGACGGTCCCATCCGGATTCCTGGTAATGGGATTCTGGAATGTAGGGAGACAGCTTCTGCCCCTCAGCGGGGGCCTCTGAATCGGTGGCCACAGCTTCGGCAGCAAAGACCTGGGGGAAAGGATCTAACGCCCTGCGAAAGCTCTGTGGCCCCACTGGCGGCTCCTCCATAGCACTTTCCGGACAGGCGGATAGACAAACGCTTGGGCCTCAAGACCCCAATGTCGCCCTAAGGCGCCTTTGGATGATGGTGAGGATAAGCTAATTAGCGGCTGCAAAGCCTGACAACTCCATTCTCAAAATCCACTCTCACTTTGTGTGCCCTTAAAACACGAGTCAGGAAGTTCTGCCTCCATCATGGCAAAGGCCAAGGAGGCGGAGCGATAGCAGAGCATGAACCGGAAATACTTCCCGGTGGAAGTGGCGCGGGCTCGCAGCCTTGCCAGGCCCTCTTGCGAAGATAGGTGAGTGAGGAACCAGTAGTCTTCAGTGCCGGTCCGGTGCGTCCCTTTTTCTCTTTCAGCGTCCCGGGTCCGCATGGGCCTGCGGAAACCGTATCTGGGTAGGTGGTAGACCGCTAGGCGTGGTCCCAGGGTGAAGTAATTTAGCGCATTTAAAACACCAGAAATCCCATGTAGGTGATATTTAAGTGCAGTATTCAGAGCAAGTGGAGTACGAGAAGAGAAGACAATTTGGGCAAATGAAAACCCAGTCTACCCTGGAACAGCATTGGAAGACTGCCGCGACGTGGGCGGGTTCCATTTATTTTTGGCCTGTTCCGGTTTCCCGAAAGAGCGGAGGACCACGGTGTCAATTACTCCGGGATTTCCAAAATAAGTTGTTTTGGCATTTCTTCACAGGGAGTATTTTATTTCCCTTAACCAAAAAAAAACTCCAACTCATAGTTGGATCCCCATTAGGTTTCCGAGGCTGCAAATCTTTATGGCAGTTGATTGCCTTACCTTCCTCCCCACAGAGCAGGTGGTAGGTTTGAACCACTCACTTTTGGTTAGCAGCTAATGCTTTATACACTAGACCACCAGAGTTCCTTTTGGTATACCTTACTACATCTCAGCAGACTTTTTTTTTTTTTTAGTTTCTACCAAGTGTTTGATAGTCCAGCAATAATTTCCTGTTACCACAGCCTCTACTAAGGAGCCCTGGTGGCATAGTGGATAAGGCATTTGGCTGCTAACTTGAAGGTCAGTGGTTCAAACCCACCAGCTGCTCTGCGGAAGGAAGGTGGGGCGATGTACTTCCCTAAAGATTTATAGCCTCAGAAACCCAGTGGGAATTTCTTTGAGTGGGAATTGACTCAATGGCAGTAAGTTGTTTGTTTTTTTTTACAGCCTCTACTAACATGTTTAGAAGTATGATTTTTATTAAAATGCATGCATTTTAAATACTCTAAAACTGGTGTGTGTAATTTCATTTAATCATTGCTTGGTACCAAACATACTTCTATGCCATTCTCTCCCTTTCCCTCATCCTTCTCTAGATGTAATTCAGACAAATGCACCAGAGCAAATTGCCCGCTTCCTTGACTTTTTTTCTTTCTTTAAAAAAAAAAAAAATACACACTGCCATAGAGTGGATTCCGATTCACGGTGACCCTCTTAGGTTTCCAAGGCTATACTTTATGGAAGTACATTGCCTCATGTTCCTTCCCATGGAGCAGCTGGTGGTGGATCTGAACCACTGACCTGGCCTTACACACTGTACCACCAGAGTTCTTTCTGGTGTCAGCAAGACAGGATTCAGTCCCCATCATAGCACTTACTAGTCTGCTGATTTTACTAGACTTTTAGGACAGAGACCACGTTTATTCACCTTTCTCTCCAAAACACACCACAGTGTTTTGGCACAGATGTTCAATGAAGAATTCAGATCCCCTGATTCATGATTCTGGCTCCAGGATGCTGCTTATTCCAGATTAGGTGGGCACTGGGATAAGTTTCAAGTCCTGAAAGCCCAAGAAAATTGCTGTACAGTCTGTGTAACCTACATGAAGAAAAACTTAAAATGACCCCAAAATCAGTCAGGGAGGAAGAAGGGCAGGACAGATATTAATGAAATCATTTACACATAAATTCCCCAGTATTCATTAGCCAGTAGATATTTTTGCTAGGTGCATTGAGTAGGTTCCGGCTTATAGAAACCCATGTACAATACTGCCCATTCCCGTACCATCCTCACAATCATTGCTATGCTTAAGCCCATTGTTGTAAGTGCTATGTCAACCCATCTTGAGGATCTCCCCCTTCCTGCTGACCCTCCACTTTACCGAACATGATATCCTCCAGGGACTCTTCCCTCCTGTAGATATATCCTGTAGATATAAATGAGTTTATATCTAAACAGGCAAATTTCATAAACTCCATAGCTGCATTCTAGAGTAAATCCCTGGGTCCTCACAAGATTCCCTTTGCCCTTTTGTACAAGAGAATCCCTGGACCTTTGGCTTCTGCTCACACCATTGCTTCCATTCCACCTCAGCTCTTTCAGATTGTCATTTACTTGTCACCCTCCCACTCTCCAGTTTCTCTAAGCCCCTAGGGCTTACCTTCTACCTCTAGGGAAATACTGTCCTTCCTCTATGGTCTCTTTTTGAAGGTATTTCACAGCAAAACTGCTTAAGCCAAAAGGTGTTACAGGGTTTAGTTTCACAGACAGATCTCTTTCCCAGAGTGTGCATTTGCCACTTAAGAAACTGCATTACAGAAGGGTTTCAGTATAGTCACCTGTGAAAGAGCACTCTGAAAAGTGGCACTCGACATAACTGGCTGCTACAGGTCTGAATCCAACTCCATTTGGTCCTAGGCTTCTACTTAGGCCTTTTAAAGTATCTGGCCCATGACCACACTCTTAACCAAGATAACTTGTTCTGCAACATTCTGAGGTGGCTCACCCCAATTGTTAGAGGAACCAGTTCTGGGATGGAAGAAAATGAGGCAAGAAACCCCAGCCAACAGAGTAACTGAGTCTTAACAAAGCATGTTGACTATCAACCAATCAAATGTACTCCCACAATTTCCCAACTCTGGAGAGGTCTGTAAAATTGAGAATAAAGATGTGTGCTTAGGCTCCCTCTTTGGAATGCCATTTTGAACCTTCATTTTAGTGCTTCCTGATTTGTGTATCTTTGAATCTGACTAATATTCTTACCCCTCGGAAGGCAGGTTGGGCAATCCTACTTCCGTAGTGATACTGCCTCGGAAACCCAAGGAGGGGTCGCTATGAGTCAGGGCCGACTCGACGGCAAACAACAACAACAATATTCTTACTTTACAGAAACTCCTATTTTTCACACACACCATGTCTAGAACCACTATTCTCCTACCATCAGCACTTGTTGCCAAGTCCTGCTTAGAGAACCCAACAGCTTCTCCTATAGTGAATTCCTTCCCAGAAGCCAGCAGGTCCCCTTTCTCTGCTAGGTTCTCAAAATACAGTCCTAGCTACATATAGTTTATTATGTATGATATAAATTGTTTTCACAGGTAGAGAGAATGAGCTTTGGGAATTCCATAAACCATTTCATTTACCCATCTTTCAAAGTATAACTCAATTTTTATATACATGAAGTTTCCCTTATGCCTCCAGTTGGAAGTTTCCTCTTCCTCTAAACTTTAAATCGGTATTACCTTTAAAAATAACTGGTACTCACATCACCTTAATAACCTTCAGCCTATGACAACTCTCACATTGCTATTTACTCTGTCTCAACTAGAGCCCCTTGAGGCTAAGGAGCATGTTGCAAACTTCTATATCCCACTGTGCACAGTAGAGATTCATGAATTATTTGAAAGATATTAAATAATTTGTCATTGTACCCCTCTGCCCACCTTCATCATCTTACCTCTACATACAGTAGGATTATTTTAAGAGAAGGCACCTTTAGATACATGGGAAGATGTGTTTTACATATGTGGGTGTGCTCTTGTTTATCATCAGTCTAGGGGCAGATGGGAATTCTGGGCTGAGTGACAAAGTCTGGTGGTCTCTGAACTGCAGCAAAGCCAGACTCACAAGACAGTTAAAAACTCTTGCTGTGATATCTAGATTGCCCTGGTCTATCCCTCCAATGGTAGCAACTTTAGAGTCTTCAAGATACCCTCATATTCTTCTAGTAAGTTCTTTTGCTAAAAGTAGCTGGAGGCAATTTCTGTTCTTGGCAACTAGGAGAACCTGACCCAACTCAGTAAACAACATCACCCAGATGATACCCCCAAAATAAGGGAAAAGCAGTAATTGTATTACCAAATATCCTACTTCATTCAAATAAACCAAATAATTCTCCTTCCTTAAAGAAAAGTGTGGCCTCTATCTAGCTCTTTGAGGAAGAAAGAGTATATCTGGGACCCAGCCAATACTAACAATACACACACACACACACACACAAACCCTCATAAGTGATGGGGACAAAAATTATTTTCAAAAGATATATTTTACACATCATCCTTATACCATCTATAGAAGTAAACAGATAAATAAGTACAAGATCTGGATAACATTTTTCTGCATTTATAAACAAAGATGCCCTTATTGAGTATTCATAGGGCAGATGAGGATATGCATTGATCCAACTCTTAACAGTTTTGTCCAATCCCCCTTGAAGCCAACGGCTGGCTCTAAACAGGATTTAGTTAAGCTCACTATCTCCATCCGTCCATCCACATACTGATCCAAAAGTTCTTTAGTACTCTGTGTGAGGCACTGTGTTGGATAATGGAGACATCAAGAAGACTAAGACATGAGTCCTACCCATTAAGAAGTCAAATAACTACAGTGCAATGTGATACCATATTATACACACATAAGCAAAATATTATGGTAGCTGTGAATTTTCTGTAAGAATGAAAGAAAGGATTCAGAAAGTAAGTGATGTCTGGACTGGAACTTGAAACAAAATAGGAAACATTCCCAGGGAAATAGTTTCAGCTCCTAATCCAAAGGACAACAAATTTTGTTCCTATTTTAATGAAAGGAAAATTAAGAGAGACAATGATAACACCTAGTAGGGTCTAACAATAACAAAACAAAACCACAGTATAGCTCAGAAACCTAAAGTGCCTATCTATAGATTTACAGCATCTAATAACACAATCTCTGTGCATTTTTAATACTCAAAAAAAAAACTAAACATCTACCTTATTCCATGCAATGATCTTACCTAGGATATCCAACTCCTCTAAGAAGGTCTTTCAACTTAAAATGTTGTAGAAGGGAGCTAAAAAGGCCAAATATGTTTGTGACAAATGGAATAAAATCCCTGATTTTATGCAACTAAATCTATTCATTAAATTTTGACTAATTCAGTAAATTTCTACTTTTACTAATTTAGAAATCAGTTAATACCTAATAGTTCTTCAGAAGCAAAGGAGAGAGTTGATTTCTCTGTGGAAAGGTTGAGCCTAACAGACAAGGATGGTTCCAAGTCATCACACTACATGGGTTTTAATCTAAAAATTTTTTCTCATTTCTGAGAGAAATCCTGAAAGAGAAAACCACTATTCAAATATCTTTTTTTTAAAAGGGAAAAAAGGAGGCACTCCAATATGGATTTATATCAAAACAAACATCTCCTCTTTATATAATTAAAAAAAAAAAACTCACTGCCATGGAGTCGGATCTGACTCACAGTGACCCCTCCTTGGGTTTCTGAGGTGGTATCACTATGGAAGTAGATTGCCCTGTCTTCCCTCCAAGGAGTGGCTGGTGGGTTTGAACCACCAGTCTTATGGTTAGCAGTCAAATGCCTTAGGCACGATGCCACCAGAGCTCCCTTCCACTTTTTATAAAAACCCAACCCACTGCTGTCAAGTCGGATCTGATTCATAGTGACCCCTCATATAGTCATTGCTAAAGTTGCATGCTCTAACTCCCAACTTAATGACAAGTTCACATGTGAGTACTTCTTGAAGTCTCTTCAAGACACTGAGTGTGGAGGACCCCTACTACCGCCAGTTTAAGGAGGAAAAGTATTAAGGGTGTAGAAGGGGTGAGGAAGAGTGCTGTTTTACTCACAGTTCCTCTAAAGAGTATTGCCTAAAATTAGTGAGTTTCCCCTCACCCCTGCCCCTTTAAAGAGGCAATTAAAAGAAGAGTGTAAAGGCACAAAAAGGGATTTTGATATCCAACTGCATAATTATCATGCAATTGGCCCTTTTCTATGTAGCATTACAGTAAACCTCCTGAGTAGAGAAGAGTTTATGCTTTTAAAAAAGAGAACTCCCAAATCACTGCATGGCACAACATTGCTTCCTAAGGCCTTTAAGGAAATGATATCCAAGTATTTTTTAACAAATCCCATGTTGTTGTTGTTAGGCGCTGTTGTGTTGGCTCTGTCAACAGAATGAAACACTGTCCAGCCCTGTAACATCCTCACAATCCTTGATATGCTTCAGCCCATCGTTACAGCCACTGTGTCAATCCATGTCATTACGAGTCTTCCCCTTCTTTGCTGATCCTCTACTTTACCAAGCATGATATCCTTCTAAAGGGACTGGTCCCTTTTGACAACATGACCAAAGTAGGTGAGACAAAGTCTGGCCATTCTTGCTTCGAAAGAGTATTAAGGCAGCAATTCCTCCAGCACAGATTTGTCTGTCTTCTGGCAGTCCATGGTATTTCAGTAATCTTCGCCAACACAACTGAAAATCATGAATTCTTCTTCAGGCTTCAATATTCAATTGTCCAGCTTTCATCTGCGTATGAGGTGACTGAAAATACCATTGCTTGGATTAGGTGCACCTTAGTCTTGAAAGTGTTATCTTTGCTCTTTAACACTTTAAAGCACTCTTTTGCAGATTTTCCTAGTGCAATACAACTTCTGATTTCCTAACTGCTGCTTCCATGGGTGTTGATTGTGGTTACAATTAAAATGAAATCTTTCACAACTTCAGTCTTTTCCCCATTTATTGTGATGTTGCTTATTGGTTCAGTTGTGAGGATTTTTGTTTATGCTGAGGTGTAATCCATACTGAAGACTTCATCGGTAAGTGCTTCAAATCATCTTCACTTTCAGCCAGCAAGGCTGTGTACTTTTGCAACAACATAAACAGCAACTATACATGTGGGCCTTACCAGATAGAATATACAGGAATCAAATTGACTACATCTGTGGAAAGAGGCAATGGAGAAGCTCAATATCATCAGTCATAGCAAGGCCAGGAGCTGACTGTGAAACAGACCATCAATTGCTCCTGTCCAAGTTCAAGTTGAAGCTGAAGAAAATTAAACAAGTCCATGAGACCCACAAACCCTATAGGGATTCCTATATTAAAATGTAGCCAACAGACGTCAAGCCTAGAATAGCTGCAGAAATGTGGCAATGAGGCCTGCTAATTCCAAATGATAAATTTTTCTGCTCCAAATAATGGGACAAAGGGCATCATCACATGGATGCAGTTAGTTTCACAGTGATAGACATACACATGTGGATGATCTGAGGCACAAGCTGTGACTGGTCCTAGAAATGGGTTCAAAACCCACATCTCCTGACTTTTGGTTCTTACTCGGCCAGAGTTGAGCTGCTGCTTATCTGTATTATACACATTTTGGACCTTGCTCTGGGAGCAGCATGGTTTGTTACAAGGTATTCATGATATAGGTAACACACTCATGGTAAGCTTCTGACCACAGGATATGTGAGGTCCTACTGCCACAGTGAGGACTACTGATCTAAGGTTCCTACTAGAGTTCAGTTTTCAAAACTTTGGGAATAATCTGATCATAGCCTTTCCTTCTTGTTACATTATAAGACAGGAATTTAGAGTATTCAGTCAACAGGTTCTCCCAGTAACAGGTGATGTGATCCATCTGCAAGTGGTTGATAATAAACTGGTTTCCCCTAGAAACAAAATAAGCACAAACATTTTTAAACAGCATTTAATCATAACATACATTTGAGTACTACCTCGAGTCAACCTCTATTCAGAGCACTTTATATGAATTAACTCATTTGATCCTCACAACCAACCCTCGAGCCATCATATTCACATACAAACCATTCAGCAACAGAACTTATTTTACTTAAAAACAAACATAAACAGCCAATGCTAAAAAAATACATATTTAAATACCTCAAAGATTTCATTCTACTTCTATAAAGGGTAGACTTGGTGCATATGTGAATGTGTCCATATATTTTTCCTCCAGAAGAACTTTAATTCTTAATTATCTTTGGATAAGGAGAATGAAATCTGAGTATCACAATGGTAACAACATCTAGCTAACTTTAGCTAAGGCAAAATAATGATAACTTGGAAAAAAGAAAAAGGAACAGAACTTACCTTTCAGCTATTTCTTGGGCTATGTCATCATTTGCTTTCACAAATTGCAAGAGCTCCCTGAAATGGAAAAAATTATTACTCTGAAATATGGACCAAGTTCATTCATACTATATTTGATAGACCACTATTGAAGTCTATGGTTAGTCTCTAGATGCGTGGATGCTATTTCCCTTCAGCAGACATTAGGGTCCTCACAGGACCAAAATAACAAAAAGCCCCACATATAGGCTAAAGGCAACTGATAGCAGATGTGGGACACATGAGAAAATACAGAAAACATGCAAGGATATGCATTAAAAGTAAATAGAGAAGAACATGGGAACTTGGGCTAACATTTCTGGCTTCTCTCCATACCTCTTCCCAGATCCTCCATCATGAGAGGAAGTTTGCTCGTTTTCACTGTGATCTGTGCTCATGCTAGATCTCAAAGTCTCGGACAATATAACAAGATCAAATACACCTATTTTACTCTTTGAGAGATTAGAGCTTTCACTTTACACTATCTGAACGATTTGGTACCAGCATTGAGCACTTTTTCAAATTAAAATTTCACTTGCAGCCTACTTGGATAATAATGCAATGCTACATATTTGAATGAAAAAGAGGGGGTAAAAAAGCTATCAGTGCAAAATGTCAACAGAAGGAAATGACTTAAATGGCTGAGATGTATCAGCTTGAGGTAGAGCTGCTTACTGGACATTGGAGAGATCTGTTTTGACTGGGATGTAGTGAACCCATGGCTTCAGTTGTGGATAGAAGAATTCTAGCCACTCTTCACCAACATGGAAGACAAGTGAACCACACAGGAAGAGGTGTTTGAACCGGAAACTGGCAGCTACACCCCGAAAATTAAACAGATACCTGGGGAAAAAAAAGAACAAAATGATCTGAAATATAGGCCTGCTACAGGTATGACCTTTTAGATTGAGTCCTCCCTTCTCTTTTATACCTCTTCTCCCTTCTGTTTCCATTTCAACCTTCAATGACATATTATTATGCATCTTTGGGGTTTCCACAAACCCCCTACATTACCAGGCTGGGGCTATACACTGCTCCTGGAAAGGAAAATCATGGTGAGGGAAAAAGGGGGATACTTTCTCTAGGCAAAGCTGATGAGGTAAGGAGCGGAGTGGTGGGTGGAAAGGATACAAGGCTCAGATGGATCTCACTGTCCATACTTTTCTAGGGCTGAATGTCTCTAACTAGTCATGACCACCGAAAGCCTTGCTTTTCCTAGTGTATCCTATCTGGTCAAAGCATCCCCTACTCCCTGGACATCCCCACTTCTCCTAAGGTCAGTAGAGGACCTGGCACATTTGATCAATTTCCAAAGAAATGCCACCCTGGATAATACCCATCTTAGAAAAGAACATTTTCTTCTGTTTGTGTTAACATGTACACACTCTGTCCCACCTTATAGTTCCCTCCCACTGTTCAGGGTCATCAGCATTCATCTGAATCCTCCACTACCCACCTCCTGTCTTGGTTTTACTGGTTCATCTAATATTCAGTCCTGCCATTTAATTATAATATTTTAATTATTTATACTTTACTCCCAGTGACCCCATGTGTTACAGAATAGAACTGCTCCATAGGGTTTTCTTGGCTATAATCTTTATAAAAGCAGTTCTCCAGGTCTTTCTTCTGTGGATCCACTGGGTGGGTTTGAACTGCCAACCTTAATGTTAGCAGCCAATTGCAAACCACTTCCACTACCACTGTGAGCCAGAATTGACTCGACTGTTAGTATCTTGTTCTGTTTAATACTTTATTCATGGTGAGCCATAAGCTGTTTTATTAATCTGATAAATATGTAATCTAACTTCAACAACTGAGTTAGTGAAATGTAGAGAGAGGCAATCTCATTGCTGTGATTAAGCTCTTTGGAAGCAGGGACCATGTTTCATTTATCTCAGCAGTCCCCAAAGAACTCAGGTCCAAGCCTTATGTACAGTAGCTAAACGAATTCAAGTGACTTTCTTAAACCCAGATTGGCCCCAGCATTAAAATTCTCACCCACAATGAAGCTAATTCAAAAGCAATATGAAAATCAAGAGAGTCAGGAGTCCTGGAAGCCTTACTTGTATTTGCAGTGATCCACAAGATGCACATCCTTAGCAGCTGGCTTTCCCAAGGTGTCCTGTGAATAAAAAGCAAGTTTAGTAGCAGTAATATCATTTACTGAAGACCACTGTGCAGCAAACATTGTGTTAAACATTCCATCAGCATAATAAACATACTCAGGAGGCATTACTATTGCCATTTTACAGATGAGAAAGCCAAGGCTTCAAGAAGTTGGGAGACTTGCCCAGGGTCCTATGACCCCCCAAGGAGAAGAGATAAGATTTTGACCTGGGTCTGTCTGATTTTAAAGTTTAAGGTCCCCTGAAGCTATAAGGCCCTCTTTTGAACTCCAAGATCATGACTTACAGCACATTCCATTCTATGTCAATCATTTACATTGGAGGTCACAAGAGATGGCTCGGGGGTTTAGAGGTATAGCCCACACACAAATTTTGTTGGGTGTGCAAAGTACTTAAAAAATAATATTAAAATCACTGCCAACATCTTAGGTGGTAGGATGTTGTTGTTGTTGTTAATGTGCTGTCAAGTCGGACCAGACTCATAGCAATCCCTCCTGGGATTTCCAAGGCAGTATCACTATGGAAGTAGATTGCCCTATCTTCCTTCCAAGGAGTGGCTGGTGGGCTTGAACCACCAGCCTTCTGGTTAGCAGTCAAATGCCTTAGGTACTATGCCAGATTTCCAACTTTCCTTAAAAAAATGGAAGATCTGGCAAACTGCACTCCCATTCCCACATGACAGCAATCCACCAAAACTCCTAGTGCTCTCCAGGGGATCCTGGTCACTGCATTACATCACCTGCCTCACCCCGGGGGCATTTGAGTTTGAGACCCCACGAACATTTCGTCCATTCACCTTACCAGATGATAAATTCCTAGGTGAGGTAAACAAGCCTTAAAAAATGTGTTAAATGAATTTGATCACCTTGGCAGGCTCCAGCAGTAAAGGCAAACAACCCAATTATTGAGTTAATATATTTTTTTCATATTTTATATTTTAAAAATATTTTCATTAAAATATGAAATAAGAATATTTCATTTTTTCATTTTCATTAAACCTATTTCAAAATGTTTCTTAAACTTCATTTGCATATTTTATTGAAACTGTACCACATAACTTATGCATCTCAGATACAGTTTTTCCCTCAAGAAGTTTAAAGCTTTTTCTCCCAGCATCCTTAATATGGTATATGGAGATTTCAGATGAGAAAATTTAGATTTAAAGTTCTCTGATTTGAGCAAGAAGTCTTAAGACTTAAGAGGACAGAGAGGGACTCAAAAATCAAGGTTCTCATTCATAGTTTCACTTTAAGATCATTTGGGGAGCTTTAAATAAATGAAGATACTGAGCCCCATTCCCAGAGACTCTGACTCATTTAATTCTTTTTTTTTTTTAAGGTCTCTGGTTGTATTATGCAACCAAGATTGAGAACCATGGGTTTAAACCAGGGGTTGGCAAACTGCAGCCTATAGGCTAAATCTCTGTTTTTGTATAGCCCAAGAACTAAGAAGATTTTTTCATTTTTAAAAGTTTAAAAAACAATCAAAGGAAAATGTTATGACATGAGAATACTATATGAAATTCAAATTTCAGTGTCCATAAATGAAGTCTTGTTAGAACACAGCCACGCCCACTTGTTTATATGCTGCCTCCAACTGCTTTCACACTATGATGGTTGAGCTGAGTAACTGCAAGAGACCTGATGACCCATAAGTCCTAAAATATTTACTACCTCTATCTGGCCCTTTACAGAAAAAGTTTGTTGACCTCTGGTTTAAACCTTCAAAGGAATGTAATATTCTAGTCATAATATAGCCAGAAAAGCAATGTGAGTTTGAAAAAGAAGAATGTACATATATGCTATTACTGATCTAAGGAACTTTTTCTAAAATTCCTCCCACCACTGAAGGGAAACCTAATATGAAATTCTACCCAGGGAGCAATGTTCTTTGAGTGAGACTGGTCACTGCTGTAGTTCTATTCAGATGACTGGTGATTACTTTCATAGATTTCCAGGCCTGGTTTTTGGTGTATTCTGCATCAACAAGTTTTGGATTTTTCCGAGATAGAAGAATGAGAGGATCTCGTTCTGGACTTGTCCTATAAAAGAAACACATGACATAATACTATGTGGTCTACACCACAATACTGTTCCCAATTCCTGAAAGGTAAGCAGTACTAGGACCCGATGCAATGACTGCACACACAGAAGGACCATTCACTGTTTACATGACAGCAGAGGAAGCGGATCCTGGGAACTACAGCATCTAGACGGTCCTGTGCTGTTCCTTATTTTACCCTTCAGGGATGGGAGTGTTTGGCCCTTCTTTGCTTTCATCTGGTCTTTAAGAGTATGTTGTTCTGGTCACTACAGCCAGGGAATAATTTCCCCTTTCGGAGAGTTCATGTAGCCTCTAACGTCACTGGTACTCATAGCTGTGTGACTAGGTAATCACCACTCACCAAAATAGCTACAAGACCTTTATTGTGTACACTCTGTAAAGTCTAGTATAATATTCAAATTAAAAAAAAAAAAAAAACTCTACAGGGCTTAGAAACTTGAAGAATGTATTGTATATGGAAAAAACCCTAGTCTTGACATTTGAGGGGTCAAGGATTCCCTATGAATCTGATGAGAACTGTGGACCCTCTCCCTAGGAAAATGCACACACCACAAATAATTCCAAGTGGACCCTAAGTTAAGAATCTGTGATCTCAAGATCTGAAAAATCAGTGAAGTTGATAAGTAGTGGCTAGGTAGCCCATCTGCATCTTGACGTCCATTGTCTAAGTAAATGAGAGGGCAAATAGAGGGTATAACCTCAGACAAGGACTCAATGCAAAAACTACAAAACCCTTCTCCCTTCGCAGTATCTTTCTATTCATCTGCTTGTGTATATAGGTGCTGGGGATATAGAACTGAGGAAGACAAACAGGGTCTTTCCTCCCCCCAACTCTAATCTCTTCCTCTGTTTTCTGCCCCCTTCCTTCTCCATTTCCAGCAATCTGTATCCGAAACCACTATTTGACTGCCACATGAAAAAGACAATGAGGAGATCTAGAGGATTCCTGCTCTGCTACCAACTACCAAAGTGACAGTGGGCAAGATCATAAGTTATTCTGGGAAACTGTAAGTGCTCAGGCAATCTAATAACCCATCTGTTCTGTTCAACAACGTATAGCCAACACCCAACAACTCACGTTTGTTGAATGACTGAATGGATGAACTTTACTTCAATTAAGAGTGGTAAAGGCAAATAATTTGAGTTCTTCTCTAGTCTACAATTCTGTGATTCTGTTTATTTCTTTGCTGTCTTAGCTTTCTCTTCAAGCCCAAGTTCCTTACACCCTCAAAGCTGTTTATATTTTACACATTATTTCAGAAGAATAACTTTGTAAAACATCAGGAAGCATAATCACCTTGATCCTCGGAAATATGCTGTAGAATTTTTCTTTTTCCATGGCCACTGTGCTGCTGACCTAAAAAAGATGGATTTTGATTAGTTTCTGTTTTACTGTTGTTTACTATGTTTTAATCATTTTTGAAGCTTAGTTCAGAGCTTTACATTTTAAAATAAGCTAGTGAAGGCTACTTTTTCACTCAAAAGAAAAAGGCCTAAATGATACTAGTTTCCTTTCCTTAAAAAATTTTCATTTTTTGTTGTTCTTATTTCAGAGAACATACACGGCGAAACATACACCATTCAACAATTTCTACGTGGGATACTGATTATATTCAAGTTGTGCAATCATTCTCAGCCTTCTTTCCTGAGTTGTTCTTCCCTATTAACATAAACTCACTGCCCTGTAAGGTTCCTGTCTTTCGAGTTGCTGACGGCAATTTTATCCCACACAGATACTTCTTAAGAGCATAATGTTCAAGTCAGACATTTTTAACTCTTGTTGTTGTTGTTGTTTCTATTAGGTGCCATCGAGTCAGCTCCAACGCCTAACGATCCCAGATACAACAGAACAAAACAATGTCCAGTCCTCTACTATCCCTGGGAGCTCTGGTAGCATAGTGCCTAAGGCACTTGACTGCTAACCAGAAGGCTGGCGGTTCAAACCCACCAGCCACTCCTTGGAAGGAAGATGGGGCAATCTACTTCCGTAGTGATACTGCCTCGGAAACCCAAGGAGGGGTCATTATGAGTCGGGTCCGACTTGATGGCACATAGCAACAACTACCATCCCCACAATCCTTGCTATGTTTGAGCCCATTGTTAAGGCCACTGTGTCAATCCATCTCATTGAGGACTTTCCCCTCTGACCCTACACTTCACTAACCATGATACCCTTCTTCAGGGACTGATCACTTCTGATCACATGACTAAAGCAGGTGAGACAAAGTATGGCCATTCTCACTTCCAAGCAGCATTTTGGCTGTACTTCTCCCAGGATAGATTTGTTTGTTCTTCAGGCAATCTGTGATATTTTCAGTATTCTTCACCAACACCACAATTCAAAGGTAACAATTCTTCTTCGGTCTTCCTTATCTAATGTCCAGCTTTCACAAGCATATGAGGTGATTGAAAATACCATGGCTCAGATTAGGCACACCTTAATCTTCAAAGTAACATCTTTGCTTTTTAACACTTTCAAGAGGGCTTTTGCAGCAGATTTGCCCAATGCAATATATCGTTTATTTCTTGACTGTTGCTTCCACAGGCACTGATTATGGATCCAAGTAAAATGAAATCTTTGACAACTTCATTGTGCCCTCCATTTATCATGATGTTACTTATTGGTCCAGTTGTGAGGATTTTTGTTTTATGTTGCAGCATAATCCATACCTGTATAGACTGCAGTCCTTGATCTTCATCAGTAAGTGCCTCAAGTCATCTTCACTTTCAGCTAGCAAGGTTATGTCATCTACATATTGCAGGTTGTTAATGAGTCTTCTTCCAATTCTGATACTGTGGTCTTCTTCATATAGTTTAGCTTCTCAGATTATGTGCTCAGCATACAGATTTAACAAATACGGTAAAAGGATACAACCCTGATGTACATCCTTCTGATTTTAAACCACACAGTATTCCCTTGTTCTTTGTGAACAACAGCCTCTTGCTCTATGTACAGGTTCCTCAAGAGCATAGTTAAGTGTTCTGGAATTCCCATTCTTCTCAATGTTATCCATAATTTGTTATGATCCACACAGTCAAATGTCTTCACATAGTCAATAAAACACAAGTAACCATCTTTCTGGTATGCATTGCTTTCAGCCAAGATCCATCTGACATCAGCAATGATATTCATTCCACATCCTCTTCTGAATCCAGCTTGCATTTCTGGAAGTTCCCTGTCAATATACTGCCACAACCGTTTTTTAATTATCTTCAGAAAAATTTTACTCATGTGTGGTATGGTATGGTATTGTTTGATAATTTCCACATTCTGTTGGATCCCCTTTTTAACTAGTCAAGCTAAACTATTATTTGGCTTTAAGAAGACTTCAGGGGATATTTTTGGTTTAAGGTTTGAAGATTATCTCAGGGTAAATTTGGGGGTTCTTCCAATTTCCATGGCTCCAGGAAGTCTGGAGTCCACGAGAATTTGAAATTTTATTCTTCATTTTCTCTCTTTTGATCAGGATTCCTCTACAGAATCTTGGATCAAAATATTTAGTAATGGTAGCTGTGTACTATCTAGATCTTCTAGTCTTATAGCAAAGAAAGCAGTTGTTCAAGGAGGCAATTAGCCACACATCTACTTCCTCCGCCTATTCCTGACTCTCCTTCATCCTCTGTTGCTCCCAGTGAACAGAGTCTAATTCTTGTGCCTTGATGAACTTTTATTACGACTTCATTCCTCTAGGGGTATTAGCCAACAATATGGATTACTGGTGATAAATATTTGTGGAAATAAAATAAAATTATTGCTTTCCTTGTATCTGAGAGAAGACCTATAAAGACTGTGTTTCTACAAGTCCTCAATCATTAATGTAAAATGTAGCTAGGTTAAATACCTATAACTTAGATGATCTAAACGAAAACCAAAACCAAACCCACTGCCATCAAGTCAATTCCAACTCATAGTGACCCCCACTGGGCTTCCAAGGCTGTAAATCTTTATGGAAGGAGATTGATTCATCTTCCTTCCACAGAGCAGCCGGTGGGTATGAATTGCTGACCATGTGGCTAGCAGCCAAATGCCTTACCCAGGACACCATCAGAGCTCCTTTTGGATGACCTAGACAACCTGACACATAGTGGCAACAGGATGGAGCCAAAAGGTCAAGGTATGGCTCAGTCATGTGATGATATGGAATAAGCTCTGTACTTGAATCTCAAGCTAAGAGGACATTTATGTGCCTCTATCCCTGCCCAAAGGGGCTGGTGGTGCAACAGTAAAGTACATGGCTGCTAACCAAAAGGTTGGCAGTTCAAACCTACACTACGGCTCTGTCAGAGAACGACCTGGTGATCTACTTTTATAAAGATTACAGCCAAGGAAACCCTATGGGGCAATTCTACTCTGTCACATGGGGTCGCTATGAGTCAAAATCAACTCAACAGTACACAACATTAATAACCCCACCCAATGGACTTAACTCTAAGTTACCAAGTACATTTATGTTCTTCCAAGTAATATTCTATCCTCCCCACCACATGTTCATTCATGTTCTCTGATTATGAAAGTAGTTCAGACTTATTAGAGAATCTTAAAATCACAGAAAAGAATTAAGGAAGAAAACAAAAGATTCCTACACTTCCTTCCACAGAGTCATTGTTCATGTTCTAGGTAGGTTCTTCTGTCTTTTTTCTATGGAAATGTAAATATTTTATGCACACACAATATTTCTAACACTATAAACATTTTTCTTCTTTAACCTGAAGGCTAGTCATCTTTAAATGAATAACTTTATTTATATTCTACTGTTTATTTCAAAAAGGAGCTCTGGTGGTATAGTGGTTAAGGCACCTGACTGCTAACCAAAAGGTTGGTGGTTGGAACCCACCAGCTACTCTGCAGAAGATGAGGCAACCTACTTCCACAGAGATTTACAGCCTTAGAAACAAATGGGGGTCGCAATAAGTTGGAATTAACTCAATGACAGTGAGTTTGGTTTTGGTTACTATTTATTTCAAGAAAACCCACAAAGAGAGAAAAATAAAACTCTCTAAAGGACTTGCCTTGCCAGATCGTCTCTGAAGAGGTCCCACCGTCCAAGACCCGTAGGATAAATTGGCCAAACCGCAGGTCCCCCTTCCCAAAATGTCCAAGCAGGATACATGATATCATGATACTCTGATGTCTTTAATAGAAACAGAAAGGTCATTTTAAATCACTCTCAGAATAGAGCGAGAAGAATCAAACTGCATTCATGCCACCAGATCTGGACAAAGGCTTTGCTCTAGTGTCATCTTGCTAAACATGTATTTTCCCTAGTTTGTAAAGTCTACCCTTTGAACATTAAAAGGTAAAAGTGGCCACAAGTTAAAATGCATGGGCTCACTGAATCCCAGAATTTGAAATCATGGTGCGGTGTAGTAAATTACTTAGTGTGGCTTTTCTACCCATAAGTCTTTGTAAACTCCAAGGTGGGATTTGCTATGAGCAACTGAGGAGCTCCTGATTGCTGAAGGTGTCCATCTGGAGTATTTCTGTTGGGAGTGGCACAAAACAATGTTCTGGGAGGTGCCCACTCTCTCTCAGGTGCTTTGAGTTCTGATGCTATGATTGGCTAGTTTGACCACCCTTCCAGGCTCAAAAGGAGGCCTCCTAGAGGCAGAACTCTCTCTGACTGCTGGTTGAGGAAGACCTGCTGTTGAAAGAGACATGCACCCCTGAAAGAGACACGTGCTGCTGGGAAAGAGACGCAAGAGACATGCATTGCTGAGCGAGACACCGAGGGACCAGCACTGTTGGGAAAGAGACTGTGAGAGACTGTTGGCCGAGGGACGGTGGGCTGGGAGAGAGACTGAGCATTTTTCTTGAACTCGAATTATAGCCTGGTGCTTCCCTAATAAACCTCATAATGTGTGAGTTCTGTGTGGCCACTGCAGCGAATTATCGAACCCAGGAGAGAGGTGGTGGGTGCTTTGGGAGGAACGGTTGGTGAAAGGCCTGGAGGGAGGCTGCATGTCTGGCCTTGAAGTTATAGGCCTTGGGTTACTGCTAGTAATTCTGCCTTCCCCTTGTATGGTTAGAGTAGGTCAGAATATGAGGCCACCTCACTGTTTTTGCACATGGTAAAGGTCAACCTTCTCAGTTCACCAAAGTTCTGTTTTTCTAGAGGACACGCACCTACTTGTTAGGGTTTTTAGTTTAAGGATCACCCAATTTTGAATGCTCAAAAATCTCTCATCTTTTAACTTTGTTACACTTGGAGTTTATACTGCCTTACCCAGTTCATGGTTATTTCCTAGATGGTCTTGTGAAAGAACGAACTAGAAAATACAGTGCAATGGTTAAGAGTGTGGTTTCTAGAGATCACATGAATTTAAATGCCAATTCTACCTCTTCCCACTGGTAAGTTACTTAATCAAGTAACTGGTAAGTTACTTAATCAAGTAACTGGTAAGTTACTTAATCAAGTAACTGGTAAGTTACTTAATCTTTCTGTATCTCAGTTTCCTTATCTTTGCAGTGAAGGAAATAAAAAATACCAACAATAATATCTATCTAACAGTCTTGCTCTATGTATTAAATGAGTTTAAACATATAAAATACTGAAAACAATGTCTGCCAAATAGTTAAGTACTCAGTAAGTGTTAACTAGTGTTATCTGCTCTTTGTAACTGTGGCATTGTTGAGCTCACATTAGGTGGTCAATACATTATTGTTTATTCATGGATCAGAGTCAGAAGTATCCATGGGCAGAATGGGGGGAAGAGGTATTATCCCACATCTTTTAAAAAGACTTTTAAACCATTTTATTCTCTTTTTATAGTTACTTCTGTTAAACACTACATACTTATAAACCTCTTAATTCTGTTTCTTCCATTGGAAGAATAATAAAAAAAATAATACCAAGTAAAGAGGAAGAGAAAGTTAGTATGCTGATGTTGATTTGATTATCAACAGAAACAACACATACACATGCATATCCTTACGGATTTACATGGGAGTTTCTATCTGTTGTTCTGGAAGAGTTTCACCTCAAACAATGGGACCAAGCACTTTTGAGAAATAAGGCTAACCCATGGGAAATGCAACATAAATGTGGCCTCAGACCACTTGCAACACAGGAAATAACAACTCTAAAGAGAAAGTAAACCATGATAAAGAGTAAGTGGGAACAAATGGTCCCTCTGCATTGGAAAAAGGAAATCAGAGCTGGTGTTCCTTTTCCCCCCAACTCTGACTTGACAGCACGCAAGAACAACAACATGGCTTCTTTGTAGGTGTTCAACAAATATTTTTTGAATGGTATTCTCTAACTCCAAGCCCATGAGCTCTCTGGAGTACCTCTCTCCCTGGTGTGGAGCATCTATGAACCCCACCTCCAATTTCCTGTAAGGGCCTCAGGCTCTTCACTCTCTATCTCCATCCCTAGACCTACAGACACTTAAGCAATCTTACATTTCTTTTGGGCCCTCTACTCTAATTCCTCAATCTTACCACTCAACCACTGTGAGACTAACAGGGACACAGACTCATTCCTGGACCTCACCATTATACATCAGACTCCATTATAGGATAATGATCTCTTGCTTATACCCTAGAAGACTACTCCCACCCCCACAAAGGCTCTTCTTTTACTTACTTTACTGAAGGAGAAGACAGGAATGGCGGGCTCCATCCATTTAGGAACCTGCGGGTAATCTCGTACATTGATCACCATCTCCATGTCAGGGAGGCGCCCAATAACCTCCAAAATAAAGTGTTCAACACCACTACACCTGCCAACCAGAAATGACACAAATTCACCGTAACAGTGATTTCTTAATAACAAGATGGGATCCCACCAACTCTTTTAAAGTAAAATAAGCTAGTGTTCAGAGCATCAACCAAATGCAAAGTTTCCTGAAAGCAATGCTTCTAAAGGAACTATTCTACTTTTGTATTTTGTGGAAGTTATCTCTCCTGGTTTAGCTTACAATACTTAGTAAGATTTTCCAAACAATTTATCATAGGTTCAGAGAGATTATCGTTACCACTCCTACCACTCCTTCTCCCCTATATTCCCAGTTTTTTTTCTTTATTTCACATATCTGGAAGATTTTAATTAGTAAGCAAACTATAAATTCTGATAGGAACTAGAAAGACACCGTTTTTATTCCCACCATAATTAAGACTCATAATTTATGAGGAAAGACACAAAAACTTTCATCACCTTTAACCTGAACACAGAACACTATCAAAATCAGTTTCCCAAGCCAGAAAAGATAGTTTTCCAACTAGCCTCCCCAGGAAACCTCAGAGTTCTTCATGAAGAAAGAAGACATAGCAGCTTGGCTTGTTTGTGTCCCATTCTTTGAGGGCCTAACCAGCACTCTACTGGGGCAGCATTCCAACAAATGACCAACATTTCCTGGCAGTATGGAAATGAGTGATTTAAAACCTTCTTTTAAATGTAGAGAGAAACTGGGGAAAAAAAATGGTTTAAGCATAGAGAAATACATTCAACTGTATTAATGAAAGAGAAATGCCAATGAATGGTAGATGTCAGTTATCACTGATCAGGTTAGCACAGAGCAAAGCATCTGATAATACACAGTGCTGGTAAGGGTGTGTGATCTATTCTGAGCGTGCAGTACAAGGCTGGTGGAAGTGTAAATAGGCACAACCTCTTTGGAGGGCAATTTGCTTCCATGTATCAAGATTTAAAAAAAAAAAAAACACATAAATTAGCCTAGTTATTCTGCTTCTAAAAATTTAGCTTACATATATATTTACAAAAGTGCTCTAAGGTATATGTACAAGGATGTTCACTGCAGAATTATTTATATTAGCCAAAAAATAAGAGAACAGTTAAGAACTATTTAAATGTTCACTGAGAGACCCAAATAAAGAAATCCATATAATGGATTATTGTGCAGCCCAGAAAGAGTGAGGTGGCTCTATAAATTCTCTTAAGTAACAACTTCTAATCTACTGTTGGAAAAATAAGTACTAGAACAGAAGATACAGCATGTTCTAATTTGTTGATGAGTATCCCACTGCCATCATGTCTATAGCAACTCTATAGGACAGAGCAGAACTGCCCCACAGGGTTTCCAAGGCTGTAAATTTTTATGGAAGCAGACTGTCTCATCTTTCTCCCACAGGGCAGCTGGTGGGTTCACACCACTGAGCTTTTGGTTAGCATGCAAATGCTTTAATTTAATGACTATAGATAACTGCACATATATAGACTATTTCTGCAATATGAAAATGACACAACCCTGCTTGCTGAAAGTGAAGAGAACTTGAAGCACTGACTGATGAAAAACAAAGACTACACCTCAACATAAAGTTAACAAAAATCCTCACAAGTGGACCAATAAGCAACATCATAATAATGATGAAGTTGTCAAGGATTTCATTTTACTTGGATCCAAAATCAATGCCACTGGAAGCAAGAGTAAAGAAATCAAGTGTTAAAAAGCAAAGATGTCACGTAGAGGACTAAGGTGCACATGACCCCACCCACGGTATTTTTAACCACCTCATATGCATGCAAAAACTGGAAAATGCATAAGAAAGACTCCAGAAGAACTGATGCCTTTGAATTATGGTGTTGGAGAATAATATTGAATATACTATGGATTGCCAGAAGAACGAACAAATCTGTCTTGGAAGAATTACAGCCAGAATGCTCCATGGCAGTGAGGCTGGCAAGGCTTCATCTCCTGTACTTCGGTTCTGTTATCAGGAGGGACCAGTCCATGGAGGACATCATGCTTGGGAAAGAGAGGGTCCATGAAAAAGAGGAAGATGCTCAATGAGATGGACTGACATAGTGGCTGCAACAATGGGCTCAAATATAGCAACAACTGTGAGGACAGCACAGGACGAGGCAGTGTTTTGTTGCTGTACATAGGGTTGCTATGAGTCGGAACCAATTTGATGGCACCTAGGAACAACAATTTCTGGAAGGATATACAGAAACTTATGATCATGGTTGTCTCTTGAGAGGAGAACTCAAGGGCTAGAGGTTGGAAGAGGATAGAGAAAGTTCTTTTTCACTGTGTATCTTTTTGAGTTGTCCAAATATTTCCCAAGTGTATACAATACACTTTGATACTAAAATAAAAAAGTATTTTTAAAAAATTATTATTGAAATACATTTACACGTGATAGCTAAAATACTTGCTTTCTTTCACATTTCTTTTAAAACAGCACTTACATACTGTATGATTCCATTTATATAAAAGTCTAGAAAATAATCTATAACAAGAGAACATAAACCAATGGTATCTGTGCAAAGAAGGGGAAGGTGGAAGGGAGGGATTACAGAGGCACAAGATAAACAAGGAAAACTTTTGGGAATAATAAATATTTTATCTTGGTGTATGTCAAAACCAGGAGCCCTGGTGGTGCAGTGGTTTAGTACTTGGCTGCTAATCGAAAGGTCGGCAGTTTGAATGCCCCAGCCCTCTACAAGAGAAAGATGTGCAAGTCTGCTTCCCTATAAAGATTTACAGCCTTGGAAACCCTATGGGACAGTTCAACTCTGTCCCATAGAATTGCTATGAGTTGAGTCAACTTGACAGCAATGAGTTTGGTTTTATTTGTTTCAGTTATGTCAAAACTTAACAAACTATACACCTTGAATGTTTGCAGTTTATTTTGTCAATCATACCTCAACAAAACTGTTAGAAAAAAAAATCATTACTCTCTATATTTGAAATTATTTTTTTGTATTAATTAAATGGTCCTCTGTTTCCTTAGCACAATCTCTCAGCTCATCCTTAAAATGCTGAGTTTGTATTTTAATTTGTTCAAAACACTGAATTTTTTAAATGTCATACAAGTTTCTGAAACTAGGTGAATTAGTTCTGGTAGTACAGTGCCTAACGCATTTGTCTGCTAACCAGAAGGTTGGTGGTTCAAGCCCACCAGCCACTCCATGGAAGGAAGATGGGGCAATCTACTTCCATAAAGATTTACAGCCTCAGAAACCCAATGGAGGTCACTATGAGTCAGAATCAACTCGATGGCAGTGAGTTTGGTTTGGTTTGGTTGAGACATAGAAAGATTCTATTTGTAGCTCAAATAGGAATCTTTGAGAGCTTATATAACAGTGCCCATTTCATTAAGACATGGGTTCTATTTCCTTTTATTTCAAGTTTATCCTGTTCTCTTTACTTGTACATGTAACTTTCAATCTCATTAGTCATCTCAGAGTAGATGGTAAATATAGTAATACTATAATAGTAATAGTAGATTATATAATGGTAATAACTTCCTACTTCCTTAGGAACATTTCTAAGACTTTGTGATTTTGACCAAGTACTCAAGAGGTCTGAAATAAACAGTTATGTACCTTCCAGAAACTCTGAAAGTAATAAATTTCGTCTCTAATTTGTTTAGTAGCTACTAAACATTGGGTAGGAGCTCTGGTAGCATAGTGCCTAAGGCACTTGACTGCTAACCAGAAGTCTGGCAGTTCAAACCCATCAGCCACTCCTTGGAAGGAAGGTTGGGCAATCTACTTCCATAGTGATACCGCCTCGGAAACCCAAGGAGGCGTCGCTATGAGTCGGGTCCGACTCAGCAGCCCATAACAACAACACAACAACAAACACTGGGTAAGCTTTCAAAAATCCAACAGTGCCCATATTCGTATTTTATTTCTCATTTGTGGAAATTAAAAATCTACATATGCTCATAATTTGTAAATTTTCTATTATTCTCCTGGATTGTGAAACAAATGTGTATTCAAAATACCTTAATGGTTTTCCCAATTCCCACTTTATTTCCCCCTGACACCTGATAACCAAAATGTAACTGTGACTTCCTCAGGGTAGAAGGACATTAAAGTGATTGTCTGAGTTCTCTAGTGCTGCTGTAACAGAAATATATCACAAGTGGGTGGCTTTAACAAACAATTTATTTTCTCAAAGTTCAGCAGGCTAAAAGTACAAATTCAAGTTGTTGGCTCTAGGGAAAGGTTTTCTCTCTGTCAGCTCTGGAGGAAGGTCCTTGTCTCTTTGAGCTTCTGCTCCTGGACAGTCTTCATGTGACTTGACATCTCTTCCCCCATCTGTTTACTTACTTGCTTATTTAATCTCTTTTCTATCTTTAAAGAGATTGACTCAAGATATACCCTATAGTCACCCTGCTTCATTAATCTAACAAAGACAACCCATTCCCAAATGAGATTATAACCATAAGCAAAAAGGTCAGAATTTACAATACGTATTTTAGGGAGATATAACTCAATCCACAAGTAATTTTTATATTCTTTTTTGCTGTTTTTATGTATTTCTACAGTGAGTGTGTATTAATTTATAATAGTTATTAGCTTAGTGCCTTAAGGCACTTGACTGCTAACCAGAAGCCTGGCGGTTCAAACCCACCAGCCACTCCTCGGAAGGAAGGCTGGGCAATCTACTTCCGTAGTGATACTGCCTCGGAAACCCAAGGAGGGGTCGCTATGAGTCGGGGCTGACTCAACAGCACATAACAACTGCTACAACGGTTATTACTAAAAATAAACAAATGATATAAATGATGTCCAAATGGAAGGATGTTTTTTGCTATACCGTTCACTTGTTTTACCTTTAATGACAGAATGGGAATTATTTAGAAGAGAAATAGGCTTTTAGGTAAGAAAATACCATGCCTGGGTTTTGTCTCTTCTAATTTTATAAAGAGAAGCCCTGGTGGTGCAGTCGTTAAGTACTCAGCTACTAACCAAAAGATTGGTGGTTTGAACCCACAGCTAGTCCCCAGGGGAAAGATGGGGCAGTCTGCTTCCATAAAGATTACAGCCTTGGAAACCCTATGGGGCAGTTGTACTCTGTCCTAGTGGGTCACTATGAGTTGGAACCAACTCAATAGCAACAGATTTTTTTTTTGGTTAATTTTATAAAGATTTGAGTTTTTGTTTGTTTGTTTTTTAAAAAAAGACTCCTAAAGGGGAGGTTTATCGTTTGTTGTATGTAATGCTGCCTAAACTAAAATTCTAGGCTCAGTCTATGACTCTCTTGCTCCTGCTTCTGGGCCTCAGCTGAAGTTCTGACTAGTGATGCCTATGAAATCTGTAGCCTCAGTTCCTCCTCTTAACTCTCTGACACCTTTCTTCAAATATTCAGCATTTACAATAATACTAGGGCCATGACAGATACTCAATAAATACCTACGCTTAACCTCTACCTTCAGCTCAGCTCACTCCTGCTAAGTCTCATCAACGTGTGTTCTCCAGCTAGGAAGGAAGAGAAGGGGCAGAGCCAAGGCCAGGACAAATGAGAGTGATGTTCCCAAGCCTCTCTACAAGAGAGGAGACATGCATTCCTTCAGCTATTAGCCTTGTTAAAGATGAGACAAGGGAAGTATTTTAAAACTGTTCCCTCATATAGCACAGAGAATTATCTAAGCCAGGTTACTCAATGCTCAAAAGGTCTAGCCTGGGTACAGCAAACTAAGAAAGTAATATAGGAGAAAGAAGCAGAGGAGTTTACAAGAAAAATAAATGGGTAAGAGCTTGGCATTATTTTGTAGTCCCTTTGAAACTTGAGTAGTTTTCACTTTTCGGGCCCCTGAATTGGCTCCTCTGTAAGCACAGTATCAAGTAAGTCCACGTATAATAAGTCAGAAGACATACACACCTCATTACTCTTACCTTGAAGGAAACATACAGTCATTTTCCCGGTATAATCTGTTCTTAATAATCTGATAGTGTGTCCCTAGCTTCCGTCTGACCACCTCTGCCATCATCGTCTTGGAGATGCCTCCTCGGAAAGGAGTCAGATCTTCTTCCACGACACTGAAAAAGAACAGAAAGCAGGCCAAGAGAGTGACAACATTCCACCTACTTTGTATCTGTACATTTTGGTTTAATATTAGGTTAACACAGTAAGCAGGAGAGAATAGAGGGTAAGAGTGAGTAACTTCTTCCCAGAAGCACCAGAGGTAATCTAAAATACTGACAACAACGAAGCCACAAAAAGTAAAAAGCAAGTCAGTTTCTCTTCTGTCTTCCTCCCCTTCCTCACCTGATCCACAGCCCTCCTTCATTCCACTCACAGCACACCCAAGTCCACCAAGTCACTGCAGTCCCCACTGCCCTCCCCTTCTCTGAATCTCACAGAAGGTATGATTTATGCTACACAGTCTAATACTGTCTGACTCCCTTGTTCTGGTATGTCTTGCCTATACCCATCCCCCTTTACTCTATCAGCCTGATACCAATAAGCAGAATTCAACTCTTTGGTATCCCTTTTAAAGCTCAGCACATAGTAAGTGGTATGCTACAGGGTTAATCTGTGGGAGATGTGGGACTAGAACCCAAGGCTGCTAACAGCTTGCAAAGTTATCTTTCTACCATATGCTGCTTGTGATGGTTATGTTTGTGTCTCAACTTGGCTGGGCCTGGTTGAGTGGCTGGGCAGCTGGTGGTAGTTATTTCCCATGATGAGACGGGCAATCAACTCCATGGTGGGATCTACCACAAGCAGCTGAGTAGCTGCCTTTGGGATGTAGTCTGCTTCCTGTATTTAAGGAGAAGCCTTGGGAATGGTCTCTGCCTATGGGACGCTTGAACCCTGCATGTAGCTGTGTCATTGCTCAGCAGCCTGCTATGCTCTGCTGACCTTGGGACTTACAAGGGACTTTAACGTTAATGGCCTGCCACATGGTTTGGTAACATTGGGAGTGTGCCTTTTGATTTGTCAACCTTGGGGCTTCTCAGCCTCAGCAGCCAGCAGCTGTCTGAGTAAAGAAATGCCTCTAGCTCCAGTGGGCCGGGAGCAGGAGGCAGAGCTGGACCCCAAGATTGAGGGACTTTCACACAGCCCCTTGAGTCTGGCACTTGAACTTGGACTTAAAGTCTCCAAATTGTAAGAATAAATTCCTGTTTGTTAAGGCCATCCCATTTGTGGTATATTTCTGTCAGAGTGGTACGAGGTAACTAGAACACTGCTCCATCTCTAATTTGCATATATTTAAAATAACCAACAGGAAACTTGTGATTAAATTCATTTACAACATGTGCATTCATTCAGCAGTATTTATTGAGTACATACTAAGGGCTGGCACTTGGGATACAACAATGAGTAAGACATACACCTTGGTCTCATGAAGCTTTCAGTCCAATGGAGAAAACAGATAAGAACATAAACTCAACCCCACAGGGAGTTAGCAGCAATGCCGAGACCACCCAGGCCTTCCTTCTACCATGGTATTTTTATTCCTTATGACTGCTAACCAGAAGGCTGGTGGTTCAAACCCACCAGCCGCTCCTCGGAAGGAAGACTGGGCAATCTACTTCCGTAGAAATACCGCCTCGGGAACCCAAGGAGGGGTCACTAGGAGTAGGAAACAACTCCACAGCAGTGAGTTTGGAGTTCTTTTGGAGAAATAGGAAAACAACCTCAGACATGTTTTTCTTCTTTCAAACCATACATGGTTCTCTCACCACCGTAACCAAGGTCTCCTCTAGATCTTAGGATAGATACTTCCTCCTGGTAAGAACTAAATTCTCAAAGAATAATCAAAAGAAAAACTTACCCATAATAGCAGCTGCAGTTTTCACTTGAACATGGTTCATAATTCTCCAAAGACCTGTTAATCTGGTCAATAAATACTTTCCATTTTGAGCCTTCAAAAAGTGAGGTAAATGAGAGTTAACAAAATACCCATGAACGTTCTTAATTGATAGCAGCAGACAGCAATAACAGAAGGTCAAAACTTTCAAACACCCCCCCCCCTTCCTATTCCACTGAGGGAATCCAATGCCAGGGAGGATTCTTGCCTTAACTCTCCAGCACTTAAGCCAAGTTAGCTCCTCAGCCAAGGCCGTCAGGTGTTCAAGAAAATGGAAAATCCACAGCTGAATGCCTGTCACTTAAAAGATTATGGATAAACTAGACAGTAGCATAGATTCTCACCTTCTATTAATCGAAATTGAGACCCATAAGGAGGATCAATTAACAGCCACAGGCATTAACCTTTCATCTCTTCTGACGATAGCCTTAAACACACACACACACACACACACACACACACACACGAAATAACCCACTCAGTGTATTTTAATAAGATAACAGAGTAGACAATGAGGGTAATAACCCCTGCGGTTCGAAAACCTGGGAATTCTCTTTACTCTCCAAAACCGGAGAATGGGTTACTCTCCAGGATTCTGGGCAGAAGAAACAACTCCAGACACCAGACGCCCCTACTCTCCACTCCAAGTCGCCGGGTGCCATCCCCCCAGCTCTGCGCTACTACGACCACACCAGAGCTAGCAAGACGCTGGCTGCACTGGGGAGCGAGAGTAAGTGCCTCCAGACCCCAACTAGACTCACAGCCAGAGCGGCTGGCTCGGCCCTATCCGGAACCCACCTGACTCCTTTTGGCGGCCCAGCGCTGGGGACAAGAGCAGTAATAGCAGCCACAGAGAAAGCGGTGAGCGAGTCCATTGCTCCATGGTTAGCGACCCCGCTGCAGATTCCTGGCAGCGCCGCTAGCGGAAGCGAGGCCCCGCACAAAGATGGCTTAAGGAGCCGCACAAGCGGGCAGCAAGCTGCCCCGCATTAAGATGGCGGCATCGCGCGAACTCCACCTCCCCACCTTCCGGATTGCGTGGGCGTTTTCCCAGGAATGCAGCTCTGAGAAGCTGGGGTTCCGCACTGCGTGCAGGCTAGAGTAAAACCACACTTTGTGCAGGCAGAGCACATGTAGTTGTGCTTGTTACGTTTAGAGCCAAACTATATAGTAAGTTGCTTTATGTCGAAGCGTAGCTTGAAGTGTTCAAATTACCTCTGTCTTCTCTTCTTTCTTCACTTTTTGGTGGCATGAGATAAAATCCGAGCCCAGGAAGAAATGGATAAATGGCCCAACTGGCTAACTTCCCTTGCATCAGAGGGAAAGTACGTCTAATTATGGTAATCACTACTAAAAACATCCTATTTTCTGCAGCCAGAAAAATAACGCTTTTCCAGTTTCAGTGAAGCAACGAACCCTTGGGAGAGAGAGCTTAAACTAGCTCACTGTTTCCATCTCACTGTCTATGCTTATTAGATAGCATAGATTTGCTGAGCTCTTGAATGTGTGCAGCACTGTTAGATCCAAAGGAGGCTGTAAAGAAGTAAAGCACAGGCGTGTCCCTGTAATAAGAATTCGTAACAGTTGATTTGTTAGGTGCCGTGCAGTTGCTTCCAACTCATAGCAACTCAGTACAACAGAAAAAACACTGCCCGTACTGCACCAACTTCACAATCGTTGCCCTGTTTGAGGCCGTTTGCAATGTTGCACCCATTGTGTCTATCCATCTAAGAGTTCCTCTTTTTCCTGATCCTCCACCAAGCATGATGTCCTTCTCCAAGGACTGGTCCCTTCTGATAACATGTCCAAAGCATGTGAAATAAAGTCTTCTCATCCTTGCTTCTAAGGAGCATTCTGATTGTACTTATTCCAAGGCAGATTTGTTCATTCTTCTAGCAGCCCAGGTTACATTGAATATTCTTCACTAACACCATAATTCAAATGCAACAATTCTTCTTCCTTATTCATTGTCCAGCTTTCACATGCATACAAAGTGATGGAAAATAGTATGGTTTGGGTCAGATGCATCTGAAGCCTTAAAGTGACAACTTTGCTTTTCAACACTTTAAAGGAGTCTTTTGCAGCAGGTTTGCCCAATGCAGTACGCCATTGATCTCTTGATTGCTGCTTCCATGGCTGTTGACTGTCCATGGCTGTTGACTGTGGATCCAAGTAAAATGAAATCCATGACATTATGTTCTTCATTTATCATAATGTTGCTTATTGGTCCAGTTGTGTTATTGTTTTTATGTTGAAGTGTAATTCATACTAAAGACTATAGTCTTTGATCTTCATCAGTAAGTGCTTAAAGTTTTTTTTTCACTTTCAGCAAGCAAGGTTGTGTCATCTGCATATCGCAGGTTGTCAGTGAATCTTCCTCTGATCCTAAAGCTGCATTCTTCTTCATATACTCCAACTTCTTGGATTATTTGCTCAGTATACAGATTGAGTAAGTATGGTGAAAGGATATAACACCGACACACAACTTTCCTGGTTTTAAACCCCTTTTTCTGTTGAACAGCTGCCTTTTGGTCTATGCACAGATTGCACATGAACACAATTGAGTGTTATAGAATTTCACTATTCACAATATTATCCATAATTTGTTATGATCCACACAGTCAAATGCCTTTGGATAGTCAATATTACAGTTAAACACCTTTCTGAAACTGCTTCAGACTTTCTGGTATCAGTAGTGATTTCCCTCATTCCCTGTCCTCCTCTGAATTCAGTTTGAATTTCTGATAGTTCTCTGTCAATGTTGCAATCATTTTTTAATTATCTTCAGCAAAATTTTATTTGCGTGTGATTTAAATGATATTGTTTGACAGTTTTCACATTCTGTTGGATTACCTTTCTTTGGAATAGGGACAAATATGGGTATCTTCCTGTCAGTTGCCCAGGTAGCTGTCCTCCAAATTTCTTGGTATAGATGGGTGAGCACTTCCAGCATTGCATCTGATTGTTGAAACTTATCAGTTGATACTCTGTTTACTCTTGGAGGGTTCTATTTCATCAATGCCTTCAATGCATCTTGGACTTCTTTATTCAATACCATCAGCTCTGATCACATGCTCCATTCCTGAAATGATTGAATGTCAACCAATTCTTTTTGGCACATTGACTCTGTATATTCCTTCTATCTTTCCTTGATGCTTCCTGCGTTGTTCAATATTTTGTCCATAAGAGTCCTTCAATATTGCAATTTGAGGCTTGAATATTTTCTTCATCCTTTCAGCTTGAGAAATGCTTAGCATGTTCTTCTGTTTTGGTTTTCAAACTCCAGGTCTTTGCATATTTCATTATAATACTTTATCTTCTCCAGCCACCCTTTGCAATCTTCATCATTTCTTCCATTCATGTTAGCTACTCTACTTGAAAGAGCAAGTTTTAGAGTCTCTTCTGACACCTACTTTGGTCTTTTCTTCCTTTCTTGTCTTTTTAATGACCTTTTGCTTTCTTTGTGTATGATGTTCTTGATGTCATCCCACAACTCATCTGGTCTTTGGTCATTGGTGTTTCCTTGAATGATTTCTTTTAGAAAAATCAGCCAAGGCCAGTCCCTATGAGGCAGAGGTTAAAGATGCCACAAATGTTCAACCCTTCCAAACTGTCATGCCACTACATCATCTCTGACATCAGCTCCTCCTCCTCCCCTCAGTAATTTCCCTCCTGTGTTAGGGCTTCATATTTCAATGTAATGTCTCACAGAACCTACAAATTCCCAAGGAAATGCTCACATGGTGGTGGTGGAGGCTGGCAGGTTGGCAAGTCCCAAGTCTGTGGGCAGGTCTGGAGGATTCTCCCAACTAACATGGTTGCAGGGGTTGGTGAACACAAATCAGCAGGTCAGATGGCAGCTGCTGTCTCAAATCCAGGAATAAGATGATGACAAATCAAATGAAACATTCACATATATACCCTCAAGGAAACTCAGGGTGGTAACTTGAGTTACACCCTCCAGCAAAGTGGGACTCAAGACACATTCCACCCTAGACAGGCATGGAGACTAAGATTTACAATATATCACAAAATGGATGATGATGGCTAGAAGGGCCATATTAAGCAACTTACTGCATTACAGTGTTCAATGAGTCAAATCTATTTTTGAGATAGTCTCTGAATTCAGGTAGGATATACTCAAGGTTGTATTTTGGCTCTTGTGGACTTGTTTAATTTTCTTCAGCTTCAACTTGAACTTGCATATCAGCAACTGACAGTCTGTTCTGCAGTGAGCCCTTGGCCTTCATCTCACTGATGATACTAAACTTCTCCAATGTTTCTTTCCACAGATGTAGTCTATTTAAGTCCCCTGTATTCCATCCAATGAGGTCCTTGTGTATAGTAGCCATTTATCATGTTGAAAAAAAAGGTATTTCCGATGATTAAGTTGTTGGTCTTGAAAAATTCTATCATGTGATCTCTTTTGTCTATTCTATCACAAGGCCATGTTTTCCAGCTACCAATGCTTTAGACATGTTATCAGAAGGGACCAGTCCCTGCAGAAGGACTTCATGTTTGGTAAAGTAGAGGGTCAATGAAAAAGAGGAAGACCATTAATGAGATGAACTAACACAGTGGCTGAATAATGGGGTCAAGCATAGGAATGACTGGAGGATGGTGCAGGACTGGACAAAATTTTGTTCTGTTGGAATTAACTCAAGGGCACCTAGCAATAGCAACATAGTATATAGATATATTTATATAACTGTATTTATATCTATATTATATTTCTATATCTATATAGATCTATATCTATATTATTTATATATCTATATCCTTGGGTAGTACAAGCAGTTTTCAGACTGACTACTAACCTAAAGGCTGATGGCTCGAACCCACCCAGTGCTACCACAGAAAATAGGCTTGTCAATCTGGTTCTGTTAATATTACGGTTAAGAAAATTCTATGAAGCAGTTCCCTATAACTCATGAGGTCGCCATGAGTCAGCATCGACTCCATGCACAATTTTTGGGGGGTGGGGTGGGGTGGGGAAGAGGTTATATGCCTATATGGTGCCCCTGATTGGCTCAAACCAAACATTGGTGTACAACTAGATTATGAGTCCACCAAGATGCACCTTGGAAGAAAGGCCTAGCAATCTACTTCCAAAAAATAAGCCACTGAAAAGCCAATGGTGCACAGGTCTACTTTGACACACATATGATGGCCATGAGTCAGAATTAACTGAATGGCAGCTTATTATATATCTATGTATAAGTATATATAGGACAATAGAGGAGTCTGGCAGCACAGTGCCTAAGGCATTTGACTGCAAACCAGAAGGTTTGCAGTTCAAACCCACCAGCTGCTCCACAGAAGGAAGATGGGGAAATCTACTTCTGTAAAGATTTACTGCCTCTGAAACCCAATGGGGGTTGCTATGATTCAATACAGGACAAATGAGGTATACATAGTAATCATACAACTACAACTATTTATCCATTATCTAAAATGTGCATAAAAACATCCTAGGCTCTGTGGACAATAGATGGAAATACAAGATGTGATCTCTGCCCTTGATGAGTTTAGAACTATTTGGGAAGACAAATATGCTACCTGTTAAAGATTGAATTATGTTCCCTAGAAATACTTGTGGTTAATCCTGACCTCTGCTATGACTGTGAGTATGGCACAGGACTGGGCAATGTTTCATTCTATATGTAGGGTGGCTGTGACTCCATGGCACCAAATAACAACATGCTTGTGGTTATAATTCCATTTGGGAATGGGTTGTCTTTGTTATATTAATGAGGCAGGATTATTGTAGAGTGTATGTTCAGTCTCTCTTTTTCTCTCTCTCTCTTTTGCCTAAGAATATTTTTTTATTGTGGTATGTGTGAAAGTTTACAAAGCAAATTAGTTTTCCTTTCAACAATTTATACATACTTTGTTTCATAACATTAGTTGCAATCCCTTCAATATAAAAACACTCTTCCTAC